AGGAACTAACTCTTCTCTTGTTTCTTGCATTCTGTGTTTTAACTCCAAAACTTCACCTCTCAGTTCTTTGCCAGAGCAGACTCTGTAGCAACTTTGTCACAGTTGCAACTGTTTTAATATGAAAGTAGGTTTGAATGTGTGTGCTAGTTTTATAATCTAGGAGGAAAAATATCTATAAATTTTTTGAAGTTAACAATATCTGTTAAATTGTTATATTCTTATAGAAACTGTTTTAAATCCTTAAAATAACTTATTTTTAATAAATAATTTTTGATATCTCAGCAGTGATGTGAATGATGCCAGATGCTTCTTTCTTTAAGCATTGCTCATTGAATTTCACTCATTTTGCCAGTCATTTCAGGCAGTATGAGTGAGTTCTTACTGAAAAGTGGTCTGCTGGTGTGTTACGGTCTGTTCTGCTAGAGGTTGAAGGAAGGGCATTTCTGTGTTTTTAAGATGAACTGACTTATTGATTGTTTCCACAGACATGGTTATTGTTGCACTTCATCTGGCTGCAAACAAGCAGGGCAGAAGGAAAAGGTCAAAGATCATGTTTAACCTGCAACTCCTAACCGACCTTTCCCAGTGATAGGTAGATATAAACTTTAGCCCTAGTGAGCATCAGATTTGTATCAACTCAAACAATAAAGTCTGAATAAGGCAAAGATTAAGTTTGTAGTAATTTGGAAGAACAGTAATCTTGATGTTCACCATAAAATTGTGTCAGCTAATGTGCTTAGAAATGAATTTTTTAATGAACTGTCCATTTTCGATCTTGCAATCCTACTTAGACGATAGCATCAAATGATAGTGTTCTGTAAATGTAGACCGTTTTCCCAAAATGTCTCTAATCCAAGAATGATAGTATCCACAAATATAGAGGTACATCGTTCTTTTTGCCCATAAGGTTGCACGGGCAGAAGTGCTGCTGGGTGAATGCACGCTGTCTTTATGTTGTGATTTTTTTCATTGTTGGGAGTCTTGGGAACAAAATTTTTCTCAGTCTTCTGGTAACAATTATTTGCATATTGAACAGGAATCAGTATGGGGTATCTGCAGCCCAAGTCTTCCAGGAGGTCATTACATGAGCCAAAGGGTCTTTTATCACCTTTGAATTTGTGAGTATTGGTATGCATGAGTTCCGAAGTCCAAAAAATTTCTTCATTCAGGTGTTTTGTTGCCCATAGTCTCACTTTTTTCCATCTCAATGCATCTATAAGTTTCTCTGTTGCAAACATTTTTTTAGCTTTGCAGTTTTCAAACTAACCTTCTAGATGGTGAGATGGCATTAGCTGCGTACCAGGGATTATCTTTGAATTCTCCAAACTAGTTGTAAAAATCTGAATGCGGCGTGGAAACTGAAGTACAGTTGTTTGAAGTCTGCTATAGTCGTGTGTCAGCATTTCAAAGTGCAGTCCAACTAGTTGACTTTGTTCCAGACTGAAATTCCATGTATATCATTAGAAACAGAAGTTAAATATATTGAAAATTAACCTGCGGAATCAGCTGGGAGCCAAATTTATCTTCTGATCCATAACAGTATTTATAAACATGCACAGCTATCAGTTTTAAAAGAATGTAAAGTGCAGTTTCATTCATTGCTAGCCTACATTCTTAGCTGTTACTCCAGCAAAACAGGGAATCAGGAGCTTGACTAAAATAAAGCAGAAGTAGTTCCCTTAACACTTGTGTACTCCTGAATTGCAGTTTAATCCCCAGATCTTTTACAATATGTGTAAATTATCAGTGTTCAGGACACTTCTCTGAAGATCACATCATAAATTATTAAATATGCCACTATATTGTTGAAAGTATGTAGAAATTAGTAATAAATAGAAATGAAGGAAAATTTTGGTTGGGTCTCTTAGGAGAAGGCGCTATAAAAGTCTGGTCTACTTTAAGGATCATTGACATTTAAACTGCTACAATAAATATATTTAAATGTACATTAGAAGTGTAAGTTGTTCATGTATATCTGGCAAAGTTTTACCTGGACATGCTGTGAATGTGAGGTTAAGCATCTGACCAAAGATCCTTGAACTATTCACTTAAAACATCAGCATCATTCTTTATAGCGAGACACTTATCAATTGTTAAATAATTTTGAGGACTAGGAAAAATTGAAGCTGTGCTACATTTTCGGTTCTGCTTTTTCAGTTTTTAGATGCATTTCTGGTAATTCACTTTCAGGAAAACAGGTAATAGATTAGAATTTGGAAACAGACACAACACTTGAATTAATTAAGGTAATTTACTCAGCTATTCAGGCAAGAGTAGTAATAACAAATAAAAAACAGGAAGAAGGAGAGAGAATTCTCACTGTAAAATACTTAAAATAGAGCAGATGTGACTGGCTTTATACATATGTAATTTTCAAGCAATTTTAAAGTATCTCCTTAAGCCACAGATTTCCTGTTTTCATTTTGGAAAGAGGAGAAGTATCCTTCACCTCTTCTGTAGTCAGGACTTTGCTTTTTTTTACTAGGTGGAGCTGTATGACAGGGAATTAATGAATATACCAGTACACTGTTGATGGGGTCTGGGGTAGCCATTGCCAAGCTGTGCCTTATTTCTCCTGACAAGCCCCTGATTTAGTACCCTGTGCTCGAGCAGAAGTCACGGGCTGTTGGGACAAAGTAGTGCCTCCTATTCTGTTATCAGTGAAAAGTTCTGTCCTTGATTCCAGACAAATGAGAAGGCTCATGTGTTGAGCTCAGCTTCTGCAGGAGTTCTGGTATTCGTGTTTTAGGGGGTTTTTTTGTTGGTTTTGGTTTTTGGGTTGGTTTTTTTTTGTGTGTCTTCTTAGGAGCTTCCTCTTCTGTTGTACCTAAAAAGCTATCCAGGGCTTTAACCTCAGCCAGCATTAACAGTGTGAATTTAGGCTTCATGAGTTTAGGACCCTTTCATAGATTTTTCCACCAACCCCACCACTGAGATAATTATGAATGGCAGTAGCTGAGTTTTGCTAATAAAAAGATCACAAATAGGAGAAGAAATTCCTCTAGGGCACAGGAGTTATGTTCCGTATCTTAAAAGATCTTTTTACAAGACCGAGCGTGAAATACTGATACTATGGTTCTGTGCAATAGGCTTGTGCAATTTCTTGTACGTGTTGTTTTTGTCCGTTGCTTCTGCTGGCATTAAAATTTCTTAATCTATTTCTGATAACATTGTGTCAAAACCAGAGAACTTAAAGGGGAGAATAACCAAGTGGTTTTCACGTGGAAAAAAAAAACAGGGCCTGTTGGAAAGAGAACAGCGGGCCGATGCTTTCGTGAGGTCACAACTGTCTTTTTTCTGGTTTATTACAAAGCAGGTTTCTTCTTCCTGCAGACTGTGGTGATGTGTATTAATGACTTCTGGAGAGCGGCCCTTCTGCCATCAGCACTCTGTTGGAGGCACATAAGCTCTTTATAAAGGAGCGCAACGCTCCTGCTACGCAAACACCGCTGCCCCAGGCCCCCTCAATTTATTTGCAATTATAGGGGGGAAAAAAAAAGTTGAGTTCTCTCTTGAGCTGTCCCTCAAGCTAAGTATTACATTTAGTTTCTTTCATGGTGTGCACATTGGTAGGGGAATGAAGGAGGAGGAAAGTCAGATTTCAAGCAAAACAAAACATGTCGTTATCAATAGTGATTTTTTTTTTAAAGGTAAACTTCTCAGGAAAAGAACTCAACATTCAAAAAATAATGCTGTCTTCAGTCATCATTAACTACAGAAATTTCAATCTTCTAAACACAGGTGGCAGTGGACTTTTAGCTGGGTTTCTCTATTTAGGCATTCTTGTTTTCTGAGAATCCTTTAACAATGCAGTAGAACTACCGCCTGTCTCTTCCTCTTCACTTCCCCATTTAAATCCCAGTAGAGTTCAACAGAACTGAAGTAACTGGACCTTACACAAAATTAAATTAAGACCAGTGTAGTTCCAGCTATTAAAATGGAAAGACTAAAGTTTAAAGAGAACTGTGAACTTCTTGAAGGACTGTCCTTTTTTCAATCAGTACTGAAGCTGTAATGCAGATGGGTTAAGGGAAAACAACTTTGTGATTTAACATTTTGATGTGAAGTTTCTCAGTAGCTCTTCCTATATTAAACTGACAGAGATGAGGGAGTTGCTAGAGACAGTAGTGACCTGTACTTAACAAGGTCTTATTTTCTATTCTTAAAACTCCACAAAATTATGAGTTTCATTGCATCAAGGGTTTATCATCCTACTACAAAGGTGATGTTCTATTCAAATAGTGTCAGGTGTTAAAGAAATATTATTAAAGGCTAAAAATGTTTTATAAACAGTGGAACATGAATGTAATCACTTACCAGATGTCTTTGATGGATTATTTGTTTAACCATTCAATAATGCTGGGAAAAAATCGTAGGTTTTATTTATGAATGCACTTTAGCTAGCTCATTCATTTTAAACAGGCATATTTTACTGTTAGAAAAATCTACAAATTTGTGCTGCTTCAAGCACTTTGCTATAACTTAGATTAACCATTGTGCATTTTCCAGAAATGTCATTAGATATCACAGAGTTAACTCAGAAAAGCATACCGGAATGTATTCATTAAAAAAAAAAAGGCATTTATTTATTGTCTAGCAGTTTATCAGTTAATCTTGGTTAGGCATATATACATCCAAGCTGGAAAGCAGAATTTGGTCTTGGAATGTGATCCAAGAATTAAGTTTCTCCTCCTCTGGATCGTGTAGCACAAACTCTTTAAAGGGCAGGGACCAAGAGTACAATCCCATCATGGAGGAGGAAGGGTCAGTCTAAGGACATTTTTTCCATTCACTGTAGTGTGCTGTTGTACCTGAAAATAAAATGCTGTTTGCAGTAATACTGAGCTTCATCTTGTTAGTGATCTGATCAATTTTACTTTGAAGAGGAACTATGTATAAAAATTACACCTTTTTACTCAGCGGTTCCATTCCTTGGGGATAAAACTGTTAAAGATATTTACCTGAATGACACAAATGTGTATTTCCTTGGGTTTTTTTATTATCTGTCTGTCAAAACCAAGAGTGTTCAGAGAACATAAGTAAATTCTGTCCTCCATACTCAGCGTTGCATCTTTCAGAGTGGAAATGTAACTACAGATGGAAACCACGAGACCATCACAGCAATCAGCAGCAAGAGCAATCCTCCATCCCTAGCAAGGTGCATCATGGTGTACTTTCTCTGCTTTGGTCCACATCCCCGAGATCTAAACCACTCGACCACTTCCTTCAGGCTATATTGCTGAGGCTCATACCCCAGCTCCTTTCTGGCCTTCTCCATACTAAAATAATGCGTGACACCAGTTTTGTAAACCTCTGTGCGAGTGAGGAGAGGCTGAAAATTATAAACGCGACCTACAAGAAAATGAACTACTTCAGTAAGGAATGCAAAAAAATAGACAAGGGAGAGAGGAAGACGACGGGTTGGGAACTTGTAACCCAAACCTTCCACTAACGGTCGGAAAAATTCAAAGTTATTTACAGGCCTGCCATCTGAAATAAAATAGGCTTGGCCTGCAGCTATGTGCTTTTTGTTGGCTTTGAGGGCCTCAGAGGCAAGGATATGAGCCTGAACTAGATTGTCTACATGTACAAATTCTACTAAACTAAGAGGATCTCCATACACAAATTTAAACAGTCCCCTTTCAATGTAACTAACTATTCTTGGAAGATGTCTTTGTTCTCCAGGCCCATAGATGCCTGCTGGTCGGAGAGCACAAGTCCTTAATACACCTTTCCCATTTCCAAGCTCAGCACCATTTGCCTCCAGCACCTTCATTTCAGCTAAAGATTTGGTCCGGGAGTAGTGATCTGGATGAAGGTGAAGAGGTAGATAAGGCAGAGATTCGTCCCCATTTTCTATAATCTGACCTCCAAATATCACGTTATATGTACTTGTATAAACCAGACTCGACACTCCTGTGCTCTTGCAGGCTTGGATGACATTTTCTGTTCCTTTCACGTTAACATCTTCTATAAGTTTTCGGTTCAGCTGCTCCCTGCCAGACATGCCATAGGAAGCGATATGGAATACGCAGATTACATCTCTAAGAGCCTCTTCCACTTCAGACAGGCAACAGACATCCCCTTGCATAAACTTTATTCCCTCTGGCACGGTTTGAAGTGGCTTCACAACATCAAAGAGAATCACATCAACTCCCTTTTGGTATATGGCACAACCTAAACTAAAACGTGATGGAAACCGTATGTTAGTATACATAGCATAATGATGCATGAAACATTTCATCTGGAGGTAAGAGAAGACTATTAACTATTTTAATACTGATTTTTTTTTTCCTTTTTTTTCTGATGGGAGTCTTAAGTATTCAGCCATCTACTATGGGGAAGATTCAACTGTGATACTTCAGGTACTGAACTAATTTCTCATGCTCCATCAATACTTTGGAGAAAAAAAAAAAAGGAAAAAAGAGGCAGAACTGCTGTAAGGGAGAATTCAGAACAGAAATAACTGAAGTGCTTTCAGCAGCCTTTTAGAAGAACCCAGCTATTTCCCTGCTTCTGTCACCTACAGATCAGCAATAGCAAACCTTTCAGATGTAAACCTGTAGTCAAGTATTTAAAAAAAAAAAAAATACTGGTTTTATCTTAATGCTTTTGTACCATCCCAGTTCTGTCAGAACAACAGGTTGGTCTTCACCGTTGCGTTTGAAAACTATGGAGAAGAGGAATGAGCGAGATGCTTCTAAGCTGGCATGAATACTTTGCCACATGTCTACATCTTACTCCAAGTCACAGGTATAAACACAGGTATTGACACAAAGTATAAATCTGGTATTCCTCTCCCCCTTTCCTGCAACTGTCGTATTTCTATAGTGCTTAAAGGGGGAGACAGTGGAGGAAAAAGCCAAGCAGAAGTCAGATAGGTTTCTTCTGAGATTTCCTCCCCCTCCCCACTTGAAATTTACTTTTTGGTCATGACTGTAATCTCTCTCACCTATGTAAGCAGTTATAACTCTGAGAGTACTCTAGAAGGTAGTGTGGCACTTAAAATAGAGTTTTTTCTTTACATGGCCTGCAGAGCCATCTACCGTAAGGGGAAATGGATTTCACTGAAATATGTACCTTATTAACAACTCTAATCGTAAAACATCACTGTCCATAAAAATAAATATATTCTTGAGAGTGGAGAGCAGCTGGAGTATTTAATCTATATGGCTAAGCACATGTGTAACTATTTGCAGGCCATGGCCTACTGTCCAAAGAAAGATCTGCATACAAGTGTAGGCTTGCTCTTCAGAGTAGGCTGAAAGATGATGATCTCAATCCCCATTACAAAGGTGACCAGGCAAGTAAATGTCTGCAAGTCAGCTGATGCTTGACATTTGGAAATAGAATAACATATTTACTTAAAACATGTGGAAACAGAATGACGTGTTTGTTTAAAACTGAGGTCCAAGATGAATCGGATGGGGGTGAACTGGATCAGGTATCTCAGGCCCATGGTCTTCCCTTTTACAGACGGATTTTGTTGCCTTACCAGCAGCGATCTTTTACATTTATTCTTGTATGTAGTAACTATTTAATGCACTAACCGGAAGCCAAAATAACCGCCTCCTCCAGTGATGAGGACTCTTTCCTTGGCAGTATTTTCGGGTTCCATCCTCTTTCCTTTGGCACTATTTAAGGAAATTAACCTATAAAACACATTGTAAATACACACATTAAAATCAGTCTGAGTTTTAATATCACTACACATTCAGTTATTCACAGATCTGATCTATTGAGGCCTTTCATTTCACCATCTGCTAGGCGAGGCAGAAACACATTCCGCCCTGGTGTGTCTCAAAAGAGAGGTTATACTTGGAGAAAAAATGACTGCTGTGGAAAAAAGCAAATATACACCTGCCGTTATGAAGAGTTAGTTAAGTCTTCACCGTCCCTCCCCGGGCCTTGCTCTAGTCCGTGTACACCGGCTGCAGGCAGGGCGGGATCGGGCGCCCTCAGCACGGCAACCCCGCACGGGGCACGGCCCTCTCGGAACCGACCGTCAGGGAGCGCAGAGCCGCGCTGAGGAGCCCCCGCAGGCGGGAAGGGGGCTTGGGGGAGCTCCGCGCCCGAGGCTCGGCGGGCTCCCGCCCGTACCTGCTCTGCCGGCCGCCGCCTTCTCGGAGCGCCGCGCTGCTGCGGTGCCGGCGCCGCTGGGCTTCACGGGAAATGGAGTTTCGCGGGGGCGGTGGGCGGGTGCCGAGCGACAAGATGGCGGCGGGGCCGTTTGGGTGGGGAGTGACTCGGTGGGTGTGGAATTTTTGTCCCGGTGAACGTCGGTGAGTTGGAGTGTGCCGTGTTGTGTCAATTTGCGTGCCCGGAAGATGCTGCTTTTCCCCTTCTCTTCCCCAAGGACACTAGACCAGAGCTTGGCTCTCAGCATGAGGCGCTTTAGAATGGGGCATCTCCTGTTGGCTTTGAAATCTGAGCCCTTTCCAGCTGTGTCACACCCCGATGTTTGTACTCTTCCCTCAGTGGGTGCCTGCAAGTATCATCCCAGGGGTGTGAGGCTCTAACCAAGTCTGGGACACTTAAGAGGGGCCTTGTGGCTAAAAAGCTCTTTAGTCTCAGGTGTTTTGGGTGGACAGGGGAGTTTCTGGCCTCGCTGCTGAACATGCTGGTACGAAGATACCTCAGCCGCCTTCGAATAACCCACCATGTCCGGGAGACCTGCGCCCTCGCAGCATCTCAGGGCCATGAACATGGCCGTCCTGCATCCTGGTGCATCCGTCGCAAGCCGCGTAACACGCTAACAGAAGTCCGCTGCGCCTCGTGCAGAGGCTGAAATGGTTTTGGCCGTGGGAAACCAGTGCACAGTGCTGACTTACTGCAGCAGAATTGCTCCCGCGTTAAGCATCAGCAGCTCACTGCAAGCTGGCTGCGAGAGAGCGCCGTAATAGGAAAACAACAAAGAATCGCACTATCAAAGCCTGTTTTGTGGTATTTTCCCTTTTTCTTCTGCAGAAGTGTGAGTCGCTTGGGGAATGTTAGAAAGAACTCAAGAAGTGGATTCAGTGTCAAAACTACTTAAAACACTCAAGTTCCTGTTTTGCAAAACCTTGGCAGAAGTAGACGCAGTATGCTGTGTTTTTATTTTGATTGATGGCAAGAACTAAAACTAAGCAGATTCTAAAAAGAATTCTGTGAGCATTAAAGAATTTTTTTAGCGATGATTTCTTGCTGGTGAACCTCTGTGACTCTTAAATAGCAATTTCAAGCATTGAACTTGTGCTGTACAACCTGACTGTGCAGAGCTGCTGCATCTATGTAGATGTGTAGAGTGTCTGGTTTTGGAGGGCATCCTTCAATCATAGCTGATTTCCCTGGCTGCTGTCTGTATGGGCAGAAGAGTGGGTTTGAGGCAGCCTTGGAGCATCCCTTAAAATGCCATGCAGATGTATAATCGATGGTGTGTTCACAAAGATATGAGAATTCTAGCTCAGAAGCAGAAAAATTGCTTATGTGTTCCTAAATACGAAATACAAGAATTCTGTAGCACCGCATATGCCTTCTGGATTTATACATAATACCTCAATCTACTTGATGAAGATTTTTAGAAAATTTTAATCACCTGGAAAGTACAAAAGAGTCCTGAATTTTCCCTGAGATCTGCTAACACAAAGTGTTTTATCTTTGAGGAATCTCATAGTAGATGATGACAGTTGATGTCTGTCTTCTGATCAAACAGATTGCGTTTGAATGGAATATCGCAGAGTTGCAAAATAGTTGAGGTTGGAAGGAAATGCGAGATATTGCTCAGTTGAACCCCCTGCAGAAAGCAGGTTCAGCCAGAGAGGTTACTTGGGAGTGTGTTGGTGTTGAATATCTCCAAGAATGGAAACTTCACATGTTCAGCTGCTTTCTCCTGATAGCTTAGAGAGCTTTGTACTATCTGAAGGGTGTCTCTGACCTTGCACTCCATGTTGTGTAGGTAAATCCTTGTATTTGAATAGGCAGCTGTTAACCTCAGGGTGATGTCTTGTCCTCTGGGCTTTGTGATACATCCATGCAGGACAGTTTGCAGGACTGAGACTTCTCTCGCTTTCCACATTCTGCTTTTTCTTGCTTCTTGCCTGGTATGTTATCTACAGTGAGCGAAATGTTAGATCATCTCATAATTAGAGTAAATATTATGAATTATCTCATAATTAGAGTAAATATTATGAATATGAAAAAGCTGTCATTAAGATACTGTAAAGCTTCTGCTCTTAAACTACTATCAGTTTTATTTCTCATTAGAGTAAATAGTCCTTTTTGGCTTCAAAGAATAGTAAGGAACATTCATTCCTTCAAAATGGTGACATCTGTGAAAGCTGTGGGTAAATGTTGTCCTCATTTTACATTGACAGTTTTGATGTTAGGACTTGACACTCTCAAATCTCATCATTTTGCACAATCCATTTGTTCATGCTTTTTAATTTCCTATGAGACCCTACTTTACCTAAGACTTTATGGACTTTATTTATAAATTCTGTGTTCCCATCAAGTAAATGGACTTCCAGTTTTACTTTATATATAACGGAATGTTGGTCCTTGTTTCTTTTTTTTTTTTTTTTTTTAAAACATGTAAATCTGTTCTCCACTACCAATTTTCACTTTAAAGAACCAGGCATTTTGGAGCATGCCTTGCATATATCCCAGCACAGAGAGAATCAGACTATGTTACAGTCACTCAAAGAGAGTGCATTGATACTTGGAATTGCAGGCTAGGGCAAGATGTGTCAGGATAGAATCACTTGCAGTGTAAATGGGGTATTATCTGCCACAACCCGAGTTGCAATGAACCTGAAACAGGCTGCAAAGAAATCCTTAAATCAGCAACTAAACAGTGCTAAATAAGCAGCTGTAGTGAACAATGCAAGTTAGAAAGAATGAGCGATGAAGTCATTAATTCTTCTTTCATAGTATGTTAGTTCATCTGGTTCCCTTTGCAATTTAAAATACTTAACTAGTAAAATTATTTTTGTCATAAAAATACAAAGCGTGCCGACAGTACTGCCTGAGGAAGCAGGGCAATATTTCATCTGGGGAAATAAACCTTATTCTACTGTTTTTGTATTATTTGATTGATTTCTTTTTGGTATTACTTAATTGTGCTTTGTTTTTCATTGAACAGTGGGATGAGAGAACAAGACTTAAAACTAGGTCAGAACCAACCACAATAATGGTCTTACTAAAACATATAAAGCCAATTGGTTAGAATAGTACTAAAAAGTTAAAAAACAGTATCTACATTGTGAATGAAAGTAGAGAATTGTAATGTTCAAAATTAGAATCAAATATTCAATCTAGATTAGATTGGAATATCTTTAAAGGAGGACAGGGTTTGGGATAAAAATGCTAGTCTGAGTTTTATTCTTGCCTATGACAGAGGTTTCCTGAGTGACCTTCAGAAAATCAATTTTTGTTCTGTAACAAAGGTGGCATTGCACTTCTTCACTGCCCGAGGTTGTGGTGGTGCTTGTTTCATTTGTGTTTTTGAAGCTCATATCGGAGGTGCTGTACAAATATTAATAAAGCAGGAAATCAGTTGTATGGGGCTTAAAGACTTTAGGCAAGTATGCAAATTAGACCCTCTGAAAATGTTAACATTGACTTCTTAGGACACTTGTTCACAGTACAGTATTGCTTGTGGAAAGCGTCATACATTTCATGATGTGGAGATGACAAACCAAAGTACTTACAGTTTCTTTTTCTTGTGAATTCCAGTAACGGGAAAACTTACCCTGTCTCTTCCACGCTGAGAAAAGAAAGGGATTTCAACATTAATGGTATTCACTGTTTAGTGAACACCATTCACTGAGGCTGATTAAAATTGTTCATCCGAACAGTTGCTTTATATCATTTTCCTAATCTAATTCTTCTGTGTTCTCTCATTTTAGGAGATAAGACTTCATAAACATTTCTAGTCCTGACTAGAAGGAGGTGCGGGGAGTAGAGGATTCCTTATCAAAATCGGAATTCACAAAATGGAAGGCGGTTTCTACTCAACCCCTCTTGCAAAGGGTCAAGCTGTTTGCAGAGTATTTTGAGATCTTTGGGTGAAGGAAGAGGTTAGGTTTATGTTGCACTGAAGATGTATGCCTTTGTTATATGAGTCTTCCTAATACTGTCAAACAACAGCTAAATTCCATCATCTTCTAGTTCTGGGATCCTCTTGAATGTGGATGCAGATTTTGGGATGAATGCTAACCTGTAGCTAGCAAGTTCCTTTTCAAACACGACCAGAAGGAAGATCCAACAAAGAACCCATTGAGGGACTCAGGTGTGATGTTGGCAGCAGCAGTGCAGGGACCTGCTCACAGGTTTCTGTCCCTCCTCGTTCGGTCAAGGCAGCTCTGCTCGAAGCTGTGCGCAGTCAGGAGCCGTTCGTAGCCTCCCTTCACCAGGGGATGGCAGCAGCTCTGCCCTGTGATGTTGGGTGTAGAGTGGTGCAGTCAGCTCTTCAGAAGGTACAAACGGCTCAAACTTTGCATGTTTTCACCCCAAAAGATCAGGTTGGGTGGAAATATCGAGCAGTTTCCAGTTGAACCAGCTGCTTAAAGTGTCTGGATGATTCCTTTCACAGTTATGTATTCTTCAGTGTGGCCTGAGTCCTATGGTGCTGTTGTACCATAGCGCTGATGTAGCACAGATATTTGACATCATTAATATCAGTGTTACATTTGATGTCATGG